ATGAAGACATGGCATTTGATGAAGATGATGAAGATCATGACCACCTTATGGACGATCTCCTCGACTTCGACGGAGGCTTGATGGGCCCAATGAGGGATGACCCCGACTTCCTTCGTCTGATGGAGGCGGTTTGGAGATGATTGTGCGGGCACAGATATGACAAGGATATATGAACCGACGAATTCTTTCTCTTAGACGACAGCGTACTGTATGGTCACCTCTCTGTAGGCGTACGGCCCCCTGCGTTGTTCTCCGTCTCACGCTTGCTCTATCTCTATCTCTATAGCCCAAGCTCTATTCTATAACCTCAAAATCTTCCCATCACCCGTAATCCCGCCCCTGAACAGCTCCCCGATCACATTCCCCTTCACAACCGTCTCCTCCACCAAACCCAGCACATGCCTCGGCTCAACCCGCCCATACCAAATCCCATGACCAGCAAGCGGATGTTTCCCTCCATCTTCACCCTTCATGCCCGGCGGCAGGTACATAATCACGTTCCCCGCGAACTTATGCCCCCCAATATGACTTATCAACCCAACCCTCGCGCTCGTCTTCCTCCCCGTCTTCTCCCCCTCTATCTCCTCCACCTTCCCATCAAGCGCCACCGCAACAGGCCCCTCCAAAACCTCCACCCCAGCCTCCGGCAGCCTCGCGCGGAACTCATCCCTCAACACGGGGCCCATCACACCGCAGCGCATATCTCTCCCGCCGTGTCCACATATCAAGACCATAACATCCTCCACATCCCTCACGCCGTGTAACAGCCCCTGGTAGGCGGCTTTCCGCGTCAACCGGTCGCGGTGGATGGGGCTCTCCCCGTCGTGCATGGGGTGTAGTTTCTCAGGGAGGAGGTAACCCTTTACCAGCCCCTCTACGGAGTCGAAGGACACGCGCGGTAGGAAGGGAACGTATTTGAATAGGGGCAGGATGTAGGCTGATGTTGTTTGGACTTCGGGCCTGGGGGAGGGGGAAGAGGGGAAGGATGCGTTTAGGGGCGAGATGTTGTGGAAGGGCTGGCAGAGGCACAAGTTAGAATAGGGTTGTGAGGAGAGAGGGTATAAGGGGGAAGAAGACGAACGTCGTTATAAACCCCTCCCCGACCGATCAGCTCTTTCAGATCGGCGGCTAGGTTGTCGCCGCTGTTGTCCTCTTCAATCTTGGACGGCCAGTCGTCCTTGCCCGTGCAGACGAGGACGTGCTGCGCGTAGTTGGATATCAGCCCGTTGAGGTTTGTCTTGTGGTCTATGTGGAGCCCCTCGGGCATGGCGGGCGTGGGCGCGCATTGGCATGTCGGTGAGGGACAGGACTGTACGACGGGGAAGGATGGTGGTGGATGTCGGCGAGTCGCATAGCACCGGCTCGATCGCAGGACGAATGCCGACTTAGGTTTGACGGACTGGAGGGTGATTTGGTTGGCGCATAGTCGCAGCAGCCTCGCCGGGGTAGTTATCAACATGGGAAGAGGATTGGGGAGAGAACGAGTGTAGAATGTGCAGAATTGGCCATGTTGCGCCGGCGCTGAGTGGTGTGCGACCGGTTGATTTTATTGAGTGACGTCGCTCGGCGCGGTCACGGAGGTAGGCCGAGATGGCCGGAGTATGTAACTGCATAAGCGCGGATAGATGCATAATTGTCTGTTTTGTTGACCCACTTCGACTCGGCGTTCAACGACATCTCCGAACAGAACCCCCTATCCAGGAGGTTAACACGTCTCAAACCTCAAATCTAGTTCCCCGTTGATCCTCGTCGATGCCGAGGCTCACACCGTCGTTGATATGGAAGGCTCATAGCATCTCGCCTCTAGCAGCGGCTCTGCTGCCGGTGTGCAGGGATATTCCGAGTGCTCTCACTGAGCTGCGATGGATCCGTGAACACGTCCAGTCCATGTCCAAGGCTTCCCCTATGCCGGCCGATGTCATGATCCGCCGTTTGTGCAGAGAACGAGGAAAAGGCGTGCCCTTGCAGTATGTCCTCCGCACACAGCCCTTCGGCAATCTGGAGATCAAGTGTCGCCCAGGCGTCTTGATCCCAAGGTAAACACACCATATCTCATAGCTACCCCTTTTCATCTCGTTAACACTCGTCAGATCTGAACCAGAGGCCTACACCACCCACCTCTCCAACCTTCTCAAATCCGGCCACTTCATCACTGCCAACCAACCTCTTAGAGTCATCGACTTCTGCACAGGAACAGGCTGCATAGCCCTCCTCCTCTACTCCAACCTCACCCCCTCCGTCCCCCAGCTATCCATAACTGGCGTCGACATCTCCCCCCTAGCCATATCCCTCTCCCACACCAACCTAGCCCACAACGTCTCCCTCAACCTCGTCCCCCCTCCCACCCAATCCCACACCATCACCTTCCAACAATCCGACATCTTCTCCCCACACTGGTCGTCCCCCTCTCTAGTCGGTAAATACGACATCATCATCTCCAACCCGCCGTACATCTCCCCCCGCGGCTTCGCGAGAGAGTGCTCCCGGTCGGTAAGGAACTACGAGCCGAAGCTGGCGCAGGTGCCGCTTCCCCGGCCGGCGGAGGTCGGGTTGGTGTTTGTGGCGCAGGAGGACGTGTTTTATGCGCGGTTATTGGATATCGGTGCTGTGGTGAGGCCGAAGGTGATGTTGTTTGAGGTCGGCGGGATGGGGCAGGCGTTGAGGGTTGTCGGGATGGTGGGGAAGAAGTTGGGGGTGGATGAGTGGGCGGTCGAGGTTTTGAGGGATTGGCCTGATGGAAGGCGCGGGGAGGAGGAAGGAGGGGAAGTCGCTGTTGACGGTGTGGGACAGGTGCCGGTTAGGGGGAGTGGACATGGGAGGTCGGTTTTGGTTTATCGGAGGTAGGAGTATTCAACGTGGCCACTCCTGAGCATTTGGGGAGTCAAGTACCCTTAGCAATGGAGGAAGGTGCAACAGAAATCTGGAAGGCCACCTAAACTCCGGCCCTTATATTCCTCCTTCGAACTTCGCTTCCACTTCCACTTTCGCTTTTCAACCCAACCATCGAACCGACTGTTTTCTCGATCGGACCTCGCCAGTTCCCTTGAACATCAACCCTCCTAAAAGAGTCAATCCCCCATACAACATCACCATCCTGACCATATTCCGCGAGCCAACATGTCGCAAACATCCAACCCTGTTCGTCCTCAGGTCTTCGACGAGACTGGAGATCTACAACTGTTAGTCGGCAAACGCAGAGTGCCCTGCAAGGTCTGCTCCAAAGCCCTTGCGAGGTCCTCGCCAGTCTTCAAGGCGATGCTTTTCGGACAGTTTGCCGAGGCTAAGTCCAAGGCCAGCAATGGTGGCTGGGTTGTTGAGCTGCCAGACGACGAGGTCAACTCGATGCTGTACATCTTCAATATCATCCATGACCACGTCGACCGGATTTCGAGGGACCTACCAGGCGATGACGAATATGGCGAAACCTTCATCCGGTCCGAGCCGCACAAGCGCTACTCGCTATATCCGTGTTCGAAAATGGAGTTCTTATACCTGCTTACAAGGGCTGCCGATAAGTACCAGGTGCTCCGTCTTTTCAAGCCATGGGCGAAGGATTGGCTTGCTGCAGTGCGCGAGGTGAAGATGGGGGCATCCGGCTGGTCTTGCGAGGTCTTATGGGCTGCGTGGCTTCTCGGCGATGAAGAGCTGCTGCGTCAACACTTGATGGCGTTGTCATGTGGGCCTACGCCCACTCATTCGTGTATGAACACGACGGATGCGGAGAGATCGTAACTGAGGACGATGGGAGCACCGTATGGATGGCTCCATACGGAGAGGAAGATGAGCGTGGCCTTATTCTCAGCATCCTGGGACTCGAAGGTAATACTTCTTTCTTTCGCCCTCATGGATTCCTGTCTAATAATTTCCCAGATCGACTTCCCGACCTGCGACTCAGACTTCTCCAAGCCATGCTATTCCCCGTCAAGACATTTCTCTTCAGGCCTCTCGTTTATATGGCGCCGGGATGCGCCTGGCATATGCAACTAGACGGCCCAGGCGATGACAGGAAAGTCATCATGAAGGCCTTCGAGGAGGCTTTACTCAAGGAAGCCCTCTTTCCACTGCCAGGGCCGCAAACATTCGGGGATAACGCCCTAAAACTGCAGGAAAAACTCGAATCGGTAAAGAAAGAGTTTGAGCAGGTTGCGAAGTCATTCTTCCTGCTCTGTGACGACTGCAAGCCTCTGGAGAGAGTCATGGAGGCGGTGGACTTGGCGAAGGGAGGCAATCATCTTGTTCATTTGACCAAGGCGCAGAGAGAGCATCTTGCACGGCGTCGGGAGGAGTCTGGGATTGGAGAGGGCAAGAAGGAGTGGTTCTAGCTGCATGCCGGGGAGGGGTTGCGACCAGCGGTTGGGGAAACGAGGAGGGATATGCGTGGTTTCCGGGCGATGTGTTTAGCGAGATTCTGACCAAGAGCAAATGGCATAGGGGTTCTGATTTGAGTAAACATCCGGCTGAGAATACAGAGAGGCACTTCACTGGTAAGCTTAGGTAGTGAATATACATGGCGTCTTTCCATGAAGTTCCAGCTTGTCCAAGACAAATGCCGGTATGGGCATATTTGGAGGATGTACACTTAAGCCAACGCCCTGTTCATTTACAACGGACGAAGAAAAGACAGATACTGATGTTCTCTCCTGTCGTGATCCCGGCATACTCGGACGCCAACAGCAAGAAAGTCTAAAATGCAAAAAATTAAACACACGTCGTGAGCAGGATTTGAACCTACGCAGGCGAACCCATGAGATATCGAATAAGCATTCAAGTCTCACTCCTTAACCACTCGGACATCACGACCAGCTTGCCTGACTCGGCCGGCACAGCTGTATATGGAGCCAGCCACGCTGCACGGGAGAGAAGGAACGATGCCTATTCGCATGGAGCGGTCCCCCTGAGTGGAACAGGGCAAAAGTTCGCCCAAATCCATTTGGACCCGGTAGGGAAGCAGGCAAAGAATTTCAACTCCAGACAGCATCTGGGAGCTGTTAAACAGTGTTTGGCTCCGCCGTGAATCGAACACGGGTTGCATCGGATGTAGCGAAGTTACGATTGTGTCTCCCCTTGTTTAGGGGAGGGGCATGCCTCGTGTACCACAACGATGAGTCTTGACCACTGGACCACGGAACCTTGTTGTGTCTTCCTTTGTTGGATGAATAGGCGAGTCGTTATTGTGTGTCATGAAGTTTCCACTGGGAAGAGTTTCGTCCGAGGTTTTGTGATGTGGGCTGGATTGGACGGGGAAGCTTATGCGTGGGCATGACTCGGGCGGCTTGGCTGGATGGATGGCGGGATGGGAGGGTTGACGTCGGTGATACCAGGTAGTTGGAGAGGCGAAAAGAAGGCGTAGAGTTGTGAACTGGGCAGGTGAGCGGTTTGAAACGATGAGTGTCAAGCCTGCCAACTGGAAGGTCATGACAGATGTAGGAAGGTCATGACAGATGTAGGAAGTTCATGACAGATGTAGGAAGGTCATGACAGATGTAGGAAGGTCATGACAGATGTACAGGATTGCGGACTTGAGCGGCATTTGGACGGTTAAGTCGACGCTTTAGGGGACGAAACGTCGCCGTAGTAACATACGAAAGCCTACCACGCGAAGTTGTCAGGGGAAGAAACGACATAAAAAGAAACGCATAGGCTCGACACGATAATGGCAAAAAAACGTACAACAACAGGGATTCCCCGGTGGTCACCCACCCGAGTACTGGTCTGTCGGTTACTGGCTTGTCGATGGGAGAGCGGACGGGATCCCGAATTCTCCAGTACCTATGGTCGTACGTGGTGGTTCTGGCGGTTGTGTTGGGTTATCTTTGAGTCCACGGCCATGGAGATGGGACTGAGCTGTGCCGACGGGGATGTATTTTCACATGTCGAGCAGGGAGAGCTGTGGCCATGCACTAGTAGTAAGAAAGCACGGGAGCACTTATCTGTAAAGTTGAGAACCTCAGATTTCCTCCTATTCCGATGTCCATCTTCGCCGGCAGGCTGATGAGCTGCAGTCTAGAGGGTACGTCCGCCGCCCAGGTCATTCATAAGTGACGACACTCTGTACCCCAGTCAAGCTTCTCTGTTCTGACCATTCCCCTTCCTCAAGACTTGTCCAAGTTCAACTCTCGCGTCCTTGCTCCAGGTTCCTGCCAGTCGACTACCACGCCGATCTCAAAGACATCGAAAATGGGGCAGGCCCGCCCTCAGTATCTTGCTTGTGACCGTCCAACACCCGTTGTAGGATTGCGATTCTCAGCCCGGGTATCTGAACGGATGATAAGACAATCATACCAACAGGCAACGAGACGACGGTCAACCTTTTACCGCATCAAGTTGCGCAATCCTACCACGGGTGTAAAGCCCAGCGCCAACTAGTCGCTACACACCTGTCTCCATTTGCCTCTGCTTCAGACGTGCTTCCAGAGTGCTGTCTAGCTGGATGAGAGGCCGGTCGGACTTCAGCACCTTCGTCAAGCGGGCAATGAGTCTCTTGAGAGGTCGGCATCCGGAATGCTGGGGAGAGAGATTATAGAGTGCGCACGAGCAGTCTCTGGTCGCTTCCAAGAGGCAGTCCTGTAGGTCAATAACCTTACTATTCCATGTCCCCGAGGGGTTAGGGAGCGGGTATAGGTGATACTCTGCCAGAGCCTCCCGAAAAGCGGTCAATATGGCCTCGCGGTCACTGCCCGGGCCAGCTGCTTCCATGTGCCAAATCGCACTTGGGGCCCATAAACAGAAATGGGTCGTCGAGGTAGATGCGGAGGGGATCGAGAACGGCCTCGATCGCCACCGCGCGCGCTGTGCGGATCTTCTCTGTCCGGTTGTTAGTCGATCTGTCGAGAAAAAAGGAGAGGAGCAAGACACTCCGCAATTTCGAGTTACCAGAGATGTTGAGGATGCTCAGGATCACTTCAGGACCGTCGCCCGGCCTTGCAAAGTCGTCAATTCTGTGAGTCAAACACACATCGGTGAGACCAAGCGTCTTTCCCTCCGGGCCAAGATCTGATAGCAAGACCAACTTTTCAAGCTCCGAAATCAACATGGACCGGTAACCGAGCACCCAAGCAATCCACATAAGCTTTGCGAAGTCTTCGCAGTATCTTGATCTGCATTGGTGGATCCAGGACTTCGCCCACGGCTTGAGCAAGGGCGCCACGTAGTATTTGTCGCTGACAACCGTGATGTGGTACAGCACATCTATCACGACTTTTGGCACGTTGTAGTTGAAGAGTTGTGCCTGAATCAAGTCCTTTCTTCTCTGGGGAAGCATCATCGGGACATGGTGCACCTGGCCGTGGAAGATGTGCAACAAGATTGCCATGGCGTTGATGTCGTCCTCCGGAAGATTGACAACCCACTGGATACTCGCGTCTCGAGGCTTTGACTCGGCAAAGCCGCCGAAGAGCATCGACTTGAAGACCGGAGACGCACGTGCAAGGGCTTTGGAGCACACCAGACAGGTAATCCTGTCCTTGCCCGTGCCAATCACCAGACGCAAGTCGCCGTCTGCGTCGAAAACCAGAGGCTCGTGCTCACTCTCGTCGCTGGTGTCGTCGTCCGAGGGTTCGTCGTCTGAAGGATCGTCGTGGGAACCGTAATCGGAAATATCGTCGTCGGGAGAGTCTCCGTTGTCTTCGTCGGGAGAGTTGTCGTCGGGAGAGTTGTCGTCGGGGGAGTCATCAGAAGCCTCGCTACCGTAGGAACCGTCGGCGTCCGGGAGTTCAGCGTCGGCCGGCTCCTCATCAGACTGACTGTCGGCGTCTTCAGCATAGGAAAGCTCCTCGTCGTCGAAATCAGCGTCCTCGTAGTCGACAGCACCGGCATCTTTGCCGTCCTTATTGATCGGCGCGCCATCAGAGACTGATTTCAGCCCGGGAATACAGACCGCATAAGCATGATTATTGGAGAGGCTGGAGAGGAGCAACTGACAGGCAGCTTCTCCATCCATCTTGCTGGAGATTTCTCAGAGACGGGATGGTGAACTGCTGCGAGGTTGTGGTTGCGATGGAGTCGAAGAAGCGGAGGCAGAGTAAAAATATAACAAAATAACGAGGAGTAGGGAAGTAACGGTGGATTGGTGAAAGTTTGTCGTAACGCAGGTGACTGACCACTCGCCTCGCGCCTTCCGTGTACCTGTATGTACTTTCACTTGTCGCCTGGGAGTGAAGGATGAGGGATGCCACAATCGTTGATCAGTCCATCATCAAATAAGCCTTTCGTCAAATAGTCTACTGTCAAATTAGTCTATAGTCAAATCAGTTTGTCGTCCAGTCAGTGTATCGTCAACTCAGCTATCTTAGTAAAACGCAGCAGCTTTCATGAACTTCATAGGATCAAGCAAAACGCGGATAAACTTGCAACTTATTTTTCTTCAACACACCCAGCAACTAACCCTCCTCAGCATCCATATGATCCGCCCTTCTCTTCCCACCCATACCGGGCCTCTTCTTCTTATCCATCGTCTCGAGCACCTTCTTCATCTCCGTCCTGGCATGGCGCTGCGCCTCCTCCACCCTTGTCTTGAACACCATCACCTCCTCCTTCTCGGTCGCGTACTCGTCCAGCTTCTTCCCCAGCGCCGCCTCGATGCGCAGCCAGATCTCGATATCGTACTGCGTCACGAGCGTAATAGCGTGGCCGCTCTTGCCCGCACGGGCCGTACGGCCCACTCTGTGCACGTACGTCTTGCTGTCCTGCGGTAAATCGTAGTTCACCACCAAATCGACGGAAGGGATATCCAGACCACGCGCCGCGACGTCGGTGGCCACGAGGATATTCCTGCTCCCGGCCTTGAACTTGTTCAGCGCACCGAGACGGTTGGACTGCGAGAGCTGTCCGTGCAGCGGAATGGCGCCGAAGCCGAGGGTGCGGAGGAGGATGGCTATCCTCTGCGTCTCGTAGACCGTGCGGGTGAAGATGATGGCCGTCTTGCCGGCGAACTCGTTGATGAGGTAAACGACGTAGGTATCCTTGTGGGCGTGAGGAATGAAGATGTAATTCTGGAGGAGGGTCGAGACGGTCTGGTACTTGCTCGAGCTGATGCTCACCCGCAGGGGGTCGCGCAGACAGGCGCGTTGCAGTGACTCGACCTTGGAGGACATGGTGGCGGAGAAGAGGTACGTCCTGCGCTCGCGGGGGAGGAACTTGAGGATTTTTTCGAGGATGGGACCGAAGTCCATGTCGAGCAGGCGATCGGCCTCGTCCATGACGACGTATTTGAGAGTGCGTAGGGAGAAGCCCTTCGTCTTCTCCAGATGGTCGAGCAGGCGACCGGGCGTGGCCACGACGACGTGAGGCTTCTTGCCTAGGGCGATGGCCTGCGAGACCATATCGAGACCACCAATGACGACGGCGCAGCGCAGGTTTATGAGGGAGCCGAGGGCCTCGAAGGACTGGCCGATCTGGGTGGCCAGTTCGCGGGTCGGGGCGAGGACGAGGCCGAAGAGCGGTTGGGGCTTCTCGAGGAGGGATTGGAGGATGGGGAGGGCGAAGGCGGCAGTCTTGCCGGAACCGGTCTCGGCGAGGGCGATGAGGTCTCGGTTCTGCAAGGCGAGGGGGATGGACTCGACTTGAATCGGTGTGGGAAATTTGTAGCCTAGGGCGGCGCAAGCTTCGCAGAGGGAGTCGACGATGCCCTGTTCAGCAGTGTTAGCGTTCTGCTGCTGGTGTTCCCAAGGGGTGTCCACGACGAGCAAAACATACCAAGTCCTTGAAGGTCTTTTGCACTTCCTCTGTTTCGTCTTGTTTCGCTTCTTGTTGTTGCACCTCTTCGGCTCCGGACTCGTTCTCGTTATCATCCTCCGAGCCCGACGGTGATGGTGACGGAGACCGTTGTCGTTGTGGCTTCTCTCCCTTACTCTTGCTCTTTAGCTTCGGTACCGCTGCATCGTGAGCGGTCTTTCGCCGTTTCGTGCCAGATGTTATGCTCGACATGTTTGCTGTGTTGGTTTCCTTCGCCTTTCCTGGTGACGGACGACGGAACTTGAAGGTCTGGTGGTCTTATCGCAGCGAAACTTTCTAGTGGAGCAAAATCTGAAGGTGGGGCCGATTGCGATGCCAAGCATCTTGACCCTCACGCACGGACCACAGCAAGTTTCAACTCCACATCCGTCTTTGTACGTACCTTGATTTCATTGACA